AACCACGTTTTCTTTACGTACATGTGCCCACTTCTCACAAAGGACATAAACAGTATGTACTACACACATGGACTACTAAACTAAAAATTTACAGTGGATGCTTCCATTAAATATTATTACAAGTAAAAGGCACAGGGCTAGGAAGCCCTCTCAGAATGCCCCCCTGGATTCAAATACACTTATCCCATCATTCCTGCCACTTTCTAAAGCAGTTCTGCAAGTCCTCTTTCGTGAGTGTCTTTAGCTGCGTGGTTGTGGTTGCCTCAGTGTCCTGAGCTGGTTCAAAACACTTCCCTTTCATGGTCCTTTTGACTTTGGGGAAGAGCCAGCAGTCACATGGCACCAGTTTGGGTGAATAAGGTGGATGAGGACACTGTCATGTTTTATGAGCTGCCTTTCCGCTGGATGGCGCTCAGTGGCAGCATTCACTGTGTATTTTTTTTAATCACATATCTATCATAAAGACGCTCAGGAAAGAGCATTTCCAGAACCAGAGCTCAGGAAAGAGCATTTTCAGAAAGTGGCAAAAATGATGAGATAAGTGTGTTCAAAGAGAGGGGGAGCATTTTGAGGGAAATTCATGGCGATATATCTTACTGTAATAAATTTTTTATCTAAGCAAACACTGTATTTTATGATCAACTCATGTAAACCTTGGTCCTGGGATCGATCCTGGGACCGATGTCCCCACATCCCCACGCCACTTCCGCCTCCCAGCAACCATAGCAACAATAAGGTCATCTGCCCTTTAGGGTCTAGCCCTGGAGGACATTCCTGCCTTGTGAACCTGCTGTGTATGCAGGTTAAATAATTTTTGTGCCATTGCATCTTTTATTTTTAAGTGTTTATAACACAGGAACCTCTAGGTTATGAGTCCAGGATCTCAGCAAACCTGAACCTTGTTTTATGTCATGTGAGGGCCACTTCCTGTGAGGCTGCCAGTTAGCTGCATGCCACTGCTATGCCTTGGGTGTGTCCCTAGAATTCACGTGCTGGAAACCTAATTCCCAAAGTCCTATGTTAACAGCCTTTGCAGGCAGGCCCTTTGGGAGGTGACAGAGATAGATGAAGTGTATGTGTCGGAGCGGGGGGCTGCAACGAACTAGTGGCTTCATAGGAAAAGCCACCACCCTCTCTTGGTCTTACCATATTATGATGCAGCGAGAAGGCTGCCAGGACCCAGCACCTTGACAATGAAATTCTCAGCCCCCAAAACTGTGAGCAAAATAAGCCTCAGGGCTCGCTTGTAATTCCAGCACCCTGGGAAGCCGAGATAAGAGGATCACGAGTTTTGAATCCAGTCTGGGCAACTTAAC